CAACTGTTGTTTTCTGCTGAAACTTGTGTGTGTAGAATGCCTGGCATTTTATGGTATTTTAACACAAATCCTTCCTTGTGTTTGTGGTTCTGTGAGCAGCATCTGTCCACTGAGGCAGAGGCTCAGACAGTGAAGAAGGACAGCAGCAACGAAGTGGAGAAGATCATCTGGGAGGAAAAAGACAATGACCACCAGGTGAGTAAAACAGTTAAGAAAACTGCTGACATTTTGATTTTTGTGCTGCTTTCGACTCCCTTGGCTTTGCCTCTCGTGCAGGTGTTGCTCCAAATTGAGGAGAAGCAGTTTGCCTACCTGCACCAGGCCTATTTCAGGGAGGACAACGTCCCGTCGGTGAGAGCGCCATCTCAACTTTCACCCACACAAACCCCATCAGCTCTGCCGCAGCCTCACAGAAACTCTTATGATGTAACTAACTTACAAGTGAACATGCTGCTTAGCAACTATCTGGCACGTCTTCGCAGATTATAGATTAGATCCTATCGGCGGAAATAATGCAGTGTGAGTGACAGCACAGTAAATACAAAAGCACAGAGGTAAACAAGACTGATAACTGTGACAGAGAATTGACTTTTCACCTGCACTGAGGTTACACTCACTCACCTCATGATTGTTGCTTTACGTGTTGAGATTTCCATAGCGCTGATCAGTAACGGCTTCTGTTCCTCAGCTTCTGAAATATGACAAAGAAGTCGCGGCCTTTCATGATGTTATTAGAGAAGAGGACATCAAGTTTCCACCGAGGTAAAGCTGAAAACGTTCGGCGTTTAGAAACTCCCAACTCTGTTTGAATTCATCTCATGACTTTTGAGTTTGTTTGCTCTGCTCTTATCCTCAGCTACCCCTACAGTGAAGAGTACACTAAACCCACCCAGTACATGAACACTCGCTGTCCTGCCTGGTGCGACCGTATCCTCATGTCACACACTGCCCAGGAATTCATCCACAGGGTCAGTCAGTGCTTACTGTGGTTGTATTTATAGCTGAAATCCCAAACTGTCAGAATGTCATCAGTTATCATTTTCACACAGTGTAAAATATAGCCCCAAAAAATCCCCCTTTTTTGCAGAAAAAACATTCAAGTGAAACTTGAAAAAATTAATTAATTGAGTTTTTCGACAATCAGGGAGGAAATGTTGTAAAACGTGCTACGTGACAAAAACAAGTAAATTGCTACTTTAAAACACATCTTGGCAACAACAAGCATTCAAGGGGGAAGGCCCAGCACATGAGCCAGCTGAGCCAGATGTTCAGGAAATGGCAACTTCCACTAAGTTTCATGCAATTCAAACCTGACCTCCTTGGCAGAGATAAGTAATGATTTAAACTTCTGAATGGATTATTTGTTGTCAGATTAGGTGAATTGGCTAATGGACCATAGTTTAATACACATTGAGTTTAATACATGTTATTTATCAGAAAGCTAACCAAAGGTTAGTGCATTACATATGCAAATGTAGAAACCTGGTTAATTGTAAAACTGGGACAAATTAGAATGTGGTGAACGGCCACAGTCTAGATACTTAATGGGAAATACTCTGTCTACTATTTGCATCAGCTTTGAAAAAAGTGGAAAACATGTTCCAGTTTGAACAGTATTGTTGTTATCATCGTACGGTTGTGTTTTCTAACCTGGGCCGATCTCAGCAACTGTGTTTTCTTTTCATTTGCTGTATTAATACAAATGACCCAGAAATGAATTGTGTCTTTTCAGAGGGATGATGGGGAGAAGGGCATAGTTTACAACACACTGGGTCCTAATGTCTGCATGGGAGACCATAAGGTAACAGTTTGAGAAGGATGTATGATGTGGAGCTGAACAAAGCAGCCACGCAGAGTAACTCTGGTGTGTTTTTGTGTTTCTCCTTTAGCCCGTTTTCCTCTTCTTTTCATTGAAGACAAATGACCATTGACTTGGATCCTTCTCAAGGGTAAGAGTATGTGCTTGTGTGTGTGTGTGTGTGTCTATGTTGTGGTTTCAGAAGGAGGACTCGGAGTGTGAGAGCGATCATAGTAATCTTGCTCCAGTCCCTGGAGAGCCATAACCCCGGCTGGCCCAGTGGACTCAGGATATGAACTAAGATGAAGTGCCTGCGGGACACAAGCTCTCCTTTGTGCCCAGTGTAGTTGGAGCACGAGCGATCAGCACCTTTCACTGATCTATGTCTATTGAATCCTCTCCACTGTCACTGTGGCTCCGTCCTAAGTGCATCGCTGGGCCGCTTTTCATTAATTACCATCTGGACGGTAGGCCGGAGAGAGACATACATTGTGCTGGACAGCCTATTGGCATTTTTATGGCCATGATTTTGTTTTGCTGCCGCTCAAATTTATTTGTTTTAAGGATTGACGGCTTTTTTATGAGGGTCCTTCTTCACTGGGCTGCAAAATGATGAGTTACATTCAACAAAGGGGGTTCAGGGAACTTTACTTTTGCTTTTTAGTCTTTAAGACAAAGTTCAGACCAGTACAGCAGCAACCTGGTATTTCTCAAGTTGAAAGGGATAGCTGCCAAATATCATTTATCTTGGTTTTAATACTTTTAATTTATAGGTAAGACTTGTTTCGTAAGACTCTGATCTACTAATTCAAACGGGTTAAACTGAGTTTTACTGTGTATCTACTCTCATACCTGGGTGTGTGTGTGTGTGCAGGTCCCATTCTCTCAGCTACTCCACAGTATCAGTACCCGAGGAGTAATCAGCATGATGGTTACCCACTAAAACCGACCCGTCAGCTGGCCAGGGCTTGATTCAGTCACTCCTGCGCCATTGAACACACCACCCTCACACTGCCGGTGTCTCCGAGCTGCTCTCACTGTCACATCCTGTCAACCAGAGCTTTAGCGACTCGGAGCACTGATCTATCTACAGCTGCTGTGAATTTCTGAGGCAGTTTTTCAGATTCTTCTCTTTCTCAGAAATCCACCAACATCAAAACCAAGTGACACTAAGGATGAAGGATTCCTACAGGTTTTCTTTTTTTAATGGCACAAAACATTGATGTAAAGACTCAAGTGTGTGAGTCTGGACCAGGCCCTTTACATGGATGTGTACATGTAATATATTTAAATATTCCTAAAGGTGTGATTAGGGTGATTTTAGTTGTATTTTTTTTAAATGCCTTTTTTAACAGGCAGTGTCAGACAAACCACAGCCAATACCACAAATGTAGTCATGTTAATTGGCCCTAAATATTGTAATAAGTTATTAGTAATTGAGTAAATCATCTCTGGCTGGTCAGTTTGAAATTAGAGGTCAAATTCAGCCAATAATAATCCAGTATTATGAACTGCAGTGTCAGGAATAATATGAATATCCTCATGAACCGTAAAAATTCAGTCACGAAAACTAAAAATCATGGGACCAACAATTGGAAATAATAAGCACAACTGAGCACATGATGGATGCTTTTATTTTGTATTTGTCACCATTGTCAGTTCAGGTATTTATTGTGATGTTGTTGTGAATGTTATTTACTGCAGCACCACTGGGAAAAACAGCAGAGGAATGCTACTAGCTCCGTGTCCTGATGATGTCTTGACTCAGATGTCCAAGAAAGATATAACCCAGAGAGGACATGTTTTTCTTACACGGTGGATTTAACTCCTGATAACATTCCTGATCACACGATAAAACTCATTTTAGAAAAGTTCCTCATAAATGTTTCAGAGGTCATTAATGATGACATTATTCAGTCAAAGCAACAATGACCCAACTAAAGCAGTTTAGTTCATTTTAACCCAGAACCAGAATCTTTTTACCCTCTTGATTTTACAATGACGTCCCTTATGTGCACCAACTGTACTTTCATACTAAGTGCTTTATTCCACAGCTACAAACTCCGCAGTCCTCACATTGTGTGGTTTTACTGTTCTCACTGAGAGTTGGTTAATGTTTCAGTTTGTCACAGAAAACTGCTTCACTCTGTTCTGGTTGGCATCGACCGTATTTCATTGCCAAAAGAATTAAACTGTACAGGCCTCATGTGTGAAGATTAGGTGAGGATGTGCGAGTCACAAATCCTCTTTATATACAGTTTATATATATATATATATATATTTATATATATATACACACACACAACACAAAGGTTCGTATTTCTTGGATTTTTTGTCTTTTTTTGATTCTTTCTTTCATAGTATCTTCATACTTTAGCACCAGAGCTGTAGTATAATGTATTTGTGATGTGTGGATTATTGTTTTTTTTGTCTGGCCCTAAAACAGGTTAAAACATGTTTGTGGTCATTTGGTTTTTGTGTTTCGTGAAAGTTATTTTGTCATAAACATCTTAGCAGTAAACCAGTACTCAGTGTAGATTCTGAGAAATCAGCTTTTTAATGCATAAATTCATAGATATTCACATCAGGTTTGTTCCGTCAGTCACGATTGAAATGTCGCCATAACAACATCAAGGTCAGACTCGGTGAATCAAGTCAGTTTGTGTAGATTGAATTTCAGTAATAAATGTAGCAGTTCATTTATGGTCCAGTAATGGGAGTGGAGTTGGTTTTAAGGCCAGTATTACCTTTAAATGAACCCTGGTCCAACACTACATCATTACTTTTGTAAATAAAATATTACCCTCATACATATGTTGTGTCGTTATTTATTGGCTTTTAGCAGCAACGTCTTTTACTCTAAAGTCGGGATGTTGATTGACAGTCTGGTTTTAAACAAACGCAGTCATTACATAACAAATAAATTCCGAGGTTAGTGTGTCAACTTCTATCTTTGATCTCATTGGCCACTTCTCTATCATGTCCTTGTATCAAAAAGCTGCCACCACCCTAGTTTCAGCTGATCCTATCTGAACTAATCTCAACTGCAGCGTCCAAGAAATGATTAAAAAAAAATTGGTAATGCTTTTATCATAGCATTTTACTGTGTTTTGATTCGGGGCATGCAAAAGCACATAACTGCTTTGCAGGTGAACTTAAAGAAACTCAGATCAGATTGATGAGAACTGGACGTCCGACCTGCACTAAACAACATGTATATTACTGTACGTCTGGGCTGTGTATTCACTTTCTATAGTTTTCCTGAATCCAGTTCTGGATGGAGTTTTGCTTATTTTGTGGCAGAAGAGAAATCGCAGCTAAAACAGACGAGGCAATCAAGCCCGCCCTCCAAAGCTGCAGAGGGCTGGTGATTTTACGATGTGCTTTTTAGACTGAAAATCTTCAAGGGTCGACAAATCAAAAGACTGATTCCAACCTTTATGGTGTTTTTTGTTTTTGACTGAGGTAAAACCAGATTTAAAAACAAAAAATCACAGTTCCATCATGAACGATTTTATTTGCATGACCAAAACTCCAATATGGGTGTGGAAGACATTTACTGGCAGGATTGTCCGTGTAAACACCAGCATATTTTAATGTCTTTAATGTGACTGGCTGGGCGGCATTCCTCTCTTTCTCTTTCTCTTTCTCTGGCACAATCGTGATGTTGGGCCAGATGGAGGCTAAACTCACCGAGCTTAAATGGTAAATGAGCTGCTCTGTCTCTATTGATTTTGTGTTGGGTGATGTCGAGTGGGCTGCGGGGGTCATTGTCTTCAATTAAGCCGCACCACACCGGTAAAGCACACAAGAGTTGACCTTTGACCTTTGTACTTGTCCTCAGCTCTTGTGCTTTTGTCACTCATGGTTTACTTTAACTGCCACTTGGCAGTTAAAGTAAACCACGTTTAAACCTGCATTCAAAAGTAAGAATGAAATCACCAAATATTACAAATAATGCACAACAGTTTATTGCATTGGCCATTGACATTTTTCACAATGTACAAATGAAATCAAAAGGCGTAACTTTATTTTAACCATCTTTGGCGTTAAAATGAATTTACATACCATTTCTAAATGTTTCCATTGCCCCCGTCTTCTTAGTGTAAATAAAAATATGTCCTGCCTTATGCAACGTAACAGAATTCTCATTTAGTGTCTGTAACAAAAAATGTTAAACTCATTACAATAATCTTTCTGTATGATATTTCCCTTAAATTGCAATTTAAAAATCAAATTGTATCTAATTTTGAATTAATGATTCAAGAAAGTTTCATAAAGCTCTTTTTCTACATGACATGAATCTCTTCTGTTTTATTTTCAAATTCAAATAAGCACAAACTAGTCCAGCTGTTCAAATGCACAACACATGTATAAGGTTGTTCTCTTCTTTATTCATTAGGGTCAGCAACAGCTCCATCATGCACTTTTTTCAATATTATTTTCTCATATTTTTACAAAAAGAAGAGACCTAATCCCCCACATGTCAGTGTAACAGCAAACATACCAGAGATCAGTAACTTATAAAAGTAAACATCTTCTTTAAGCTTCGCGTTGTGTATCGAACCCGCTGATGTCCTGCTCTGAACATGCTTCATGGATTTAACTGTGTTCTAAACTAATGTGTGTTTTCGTGTGATCATGCATCTCTTGCTGAAGCGCGTGTGCGTGTGTCAGACGTGGTGCGGCCCGAGGCGCAGCACGGAGAAGGCTCTGCGGTGTTTGCGCAGCAGCAGGCGGATCTTGTCGTCGTCGGAGTCGGGGTCCAGGGGCTTGTTGTACTCCTCGTCCTCCACCTCGTTCTCCGAGGCCTCGCCGCCCTGGCCGGCGTGCAGGCTGCTCTGCGTGGAGCTCGGCTCCGTGGAGCTCTTCTTCCTCCACTTGGTGCGTCGGTTCTGAAACCACACCTGAAACACAGCAGGGCGCCTTCACTGAGCTGCTAGTGACGGAGGGTGCGTCATGTTTGCAGACATTATGACACATGGAAATCTGTGGAAATCAGTCGTGACCCAGATTGTGAATGGATGAATGCATGAGTGACTGACTGGGTGGATGGATGGATAATGACTGAATGAATGAATGGATGGATGGATGGATGGATGGATGAAGCTGAGTATTTAGGCCTACAGGTGTTGATCCTGTTTTCTTTCTATATTACATGAAATGTTGTGGTGCACTGATGATGATAATTTTAATACTTATAAGTTGACTCTCTTTGCCTCTATATCTTGGAACAAACAAAACCATCAGGATGATTATATGGTTATTTATTTGCTGCCACTCTTGTTTCTATTTTCTTTTTCTTAATAATGGTTTCTGTAAAGCCTACAAATCAGCCAAACAATCAATCATACATGATAATTACACAAATTCTGGTCCTTCAGTTTTAAATAATTAAGTTAGCATAGTTGAATTTTACAGTAGCTTTCAGAATAAGACTCACAGCTCCACATGTTAAAAATAAACTACAACAAAAAATGAAATGGTGATGGTCCAACACAGATAAATTAAACAAAAAAGAAAGAGTAATGTGCCAAAAAAAGTCTCCTCATAATTTGTAAATCGTCTCCCAGGAAACAATCACCGTTTTATGAATGTGCTACCTTAACTTGTGATTCGGTCATTCCCAGAGAATAAGCCAGCCTCGCTCTCTCAGGCCCGGCCAGGTATTTGGTCTGCTCGAAGGTTTTCTCCAGAGCAAATATCTGATGTCCACTGAACGTCGGCCTGGTGTGTTTCTTCCTGCCGGACATCTCCCCGAGAGGAGCACCGCCTGACAATATCAACGCAGAAAATGTTACAGACATCCAGTAACACACTTTCTTTTGTTTGAGCTAATTCATTACAGAGGTTTGTGCCTTCAAATCAAACATTTTTTGTTATGTACAACCAATGAAAAACAGAGGGATTAACACACATATATTAATCGTCTCAGTTTGAATTTAGGCAATGTATTCTCTATAGTCACAACCTGTATATTTGTTGCTCATACGCTGAGTTTTACACTAAATCAATGAAATATTATTGTTTTAATTATTGCCATTATTGTTTGTTACCTATTCGATGTGTTAAAGTTACATTAGTAAACACAGTTCTATGCAGCATGCTGTACGTATTATGCATATTCTTTAGTATATTTGCTTGCGTATTTGAAACACCCCTTGAACCCATCATACATTTTATGTGTGTTTCAGAACAGTAGAAAGTAAAGTTATACATTTGTCAAATCTATTTATGTCCTGTGCTTTAAGGTGTAACATCTATGTTTTATAGTTCTGATTGATTCACAGCAATGAATTTGCTGGTTTCAGCATAATTCTTTCCTTCTCTAATGAAAACATCCTTTGGTGTGTGCTGACAGACAGGCACAGGGGTGTAGTAATGCAGTGATGGGCTGGATGCTGAGCCCAGCCTTCAGTATTGAGACTCACTGTTGGTGCACTGCTGCCTCCCTCCTCTCCAGTCACAGCCGCTCTCTGCCCAGCAGCTCACACTGCGAGCCTTCATCGGGCACTCGGCGCCCGGCTTGGAGAAGTTGCCCAGTGACGAGTTGTAGTCTCGGTTATAGTACATGGACGTGCTGGAGACGGAGGGGCTGAACCCCCCCATGGTCGAGTATCCAGACAGAAGGGTGGTGGTGCCCGTGGAGCCCATACCCACCATGGAGCGACTCAGGATGTCACTGATTCCGTGGGGCGTTCCTGCTTGCAGCTGGCTGTTCAGGCCAGGGTTGAGCTTGTAGAAAGAGTTGGGCACTGAGTACTGGCACACCGGCGTCTTTAGATCCGAGGGGAACTGGTTCAGGCTGTTGTTGAACAGGAAGGACCCCTGGATGTTTGGATCCATGGGACGTTTGTAACTCTGCCTCCAGATTTCAGCAACACATCCAGCGAGATTCAAGCAGGAGAAGACCTCTGATGGGCACACGAGGAGTTCTCTCAGCCAAGGGTGATGTCAGGATCTGGGATCACACCCTGCACCGTTCCCAGATGTTCAAACAATCACGAGCACCGATAGCAATTTTAACAAAGTCTGTGGTGTTAGCAAAAGTTGCTACCACATCAAAAACGTTTAAGCAGCAGATAAACTCTTCACTTCCGCCCTTCCCCTCTTCTCAGCCACAGTGTGACGTTTGATAGCTCCATATCTGAAGTTCTGGTCGAGCCCTCTGCACACAGATTTTAGTGTTCCCCCAAAGACATATCCCTCCTGCCGCCTCGCTCCTCAGAAATCTTATAAATAGGCAGTATCTGGAAATGGAGTGGCACCTTGATAAAGATAGGCCACATTAGAATGCAGCCTGGGATTGGCCTGGGTCTCGCTGCTTTAATGCCTTTCTATTGGCTCCTCGGTGAAAGCCAAGCCTTTTATTGGAAGGCAGCAGATTAATTGAGATTTGAACAGGTGGAGTGGGAACAAGTTGATTTTTTGATGGCCTGCCATGTCTGACCAAGTGTGGTGGAGCTGAGGCAGCTGGAGCACACAGAAGAGGAGGAGGAGGAGGAGGAGGAGGAGGAGGAGGAGAGGGGCATGCTATGTTTATACACTGGAGATTTTACACAAAAACATTAGACAGTTTTATTGTAAATTACACAACACAAACCTAACACAATGCACCAGTTTATATCAGTTAAAATGTTGTATGTACTGTATGATTTAGATCCTGATTAAATAGTCTGAATGAGGCAAGGCCCTGTCAATAGTGTTTTCTGATTACTGTAACCAGAATTAGATCACTTGCAAATGAATTATGTTGAGTATTCAGATTCAACTTCAACATATACAGCAGTTACCAACTGCTTGATGCCATATTCAGATTAAATGCTCTGTAACATGTAAACAGTGTAAGTGTAAAGTGTTCATGACTCAGTAAAACATATGATAGATAATGTATGAAATCTCAGAAAGACCAACGCTGACTGCTCTTTATTCAACAGACAAACATGGCTTTGTCGGCAGGATCACTCGAGTGAGTGGACATCTGGACCTCAGGGCTGAAGGTGAACACTGTGCATAGCCAGAGTCTGGGACTCTAACCTCAACCCCTCTGGAAAAACAGGACGGAGAAGGATATTCCAGGACTCCAGTGAATCTAAGGAAAGTGAGTGTGTTATGATTCTGCCCTCTGAACTATTGAAAAATTATCATGGGCCTGATTTTCTGTTGTATGGACCACTAGATTGTGGTCATTTAACTTGTTTTCCTTGTGTTTAGATTTGTGTTCAGTATTTATTTATTTTGTTATTCTTGAGCTCCAGGGTTACCCTCCATTTCCTGTTTTATTTTGAAACTTCTTTCCTTGTGTGTATCTCTTGCTTTAAATCCTGTTTCCTGCTCTTGTGATAGTCTGCATCTGTCCTCATGTGATTCGCCTGTGTTCAGTGAGTCCCCCCCCCCCCATCTATAAAGTTGGTTGAGGTCATCATTTATGATTTCATTTACGATTGTACCTGCTGTTCTGTGCAGTTGGATTGCTGCTGCCAAAGGCCAGAAGACTGTTTATACATTTAATTCATGTCCATCAGGCAAGTCTTTGTGCCTTTTTAGAATAATTTCATTGTTCATCTGTGATGTATATTTCTATTCTGTAAGGGAGAAAATGTATAATACTATTACTACTAATGATAATGTAATAACTATAAATTATTAATGATTACAATGTTCATGTCATCCATGAAACGGGAAAATAAGAGTAATAGTAATAGTAGTAATAATTACTTTAACAATTGGGAAAGAAGTTAGGGTGCAGTAAAAGAGTAAATTCCTTGGATCGGATGCTTAATGCATAAATCAAATATGTCCATATAAAAACATAAAGTTGTATTATACATTACAACATTTTGACTCTGTGTGCTTTGGGTGTGGCCTGCAGTCGCTCTGAGTGTCATGTGAAAAGCCATGTGTTTTATCAGTAACTTTCCAGGAGTGATGATGTAATTTAGGATTTCCTGCCATGTCCTCTTCCTGTCACATGATCATGACTCCCAGTCAGTGAGGAGTGAGAGAAACACACAGCGTTTTGCTGTCGGGGCAGAGCTGTTTGACTCACTGGTCTAACTAGCTGGGGAAATTTTTAATTTCCAATGTTTGCATGATGCCATCACCCAGCCATGTTTGAAGTTCCTGCAAAGGCTGCACAACCTCTCTGTGAAGTGAAATCTGATACTTTGGTGGTATTTTTCCAGTGTTTCACATTGTTTTACATTACAGCATATTGCATACAAAGGACTAAA